TCTGCTGGGAGTAGATGGAAAAGGAAAAAAGAGGATTTCTTTCCTGGAATAGGAATAGAGAGATGAAGGGAAGTAAGCAGTGTTTTGCTTGTGGCAAGGAGGGGCATTTTGTGAGGAATTGCCCGGACAAGCAGAGAATGCAAAGAAGGGAGCAGAGGCTGTATACCCTAATTGAAGATTGGGGGGGGGGGGTTCAAGGGCTCCTAACACGAGTCTCACCGGGAGCCTTTAGAAAATTTAAAGGTGGGACCTGAGGAAGAGGATTGTGTTTTCCTGGTGGATACTGGTGCATCCAGAACTTCTTTGTGTAAATTACCTGAGGGTATTATTCAAGTAGGGAAAACTATTATGGTATCTGGTGTTAAGGGAGAGCCTTTTGGTGTTGCTATTGTTGAAAATGTGTCTTTAAAAGGAGGACACTCTGAAATAACATTGGATGTTTTGTATATACCTGAAGCAGGTATAAACCTTTTAGCATGGGATGCTTTATCCTTATTAGGTTGTGAGCTTATCTTTTCTGAAGAGAAGTGCACTGTTCATTTACTGACTGATGAACAGGAGAAACATATAGATCCCATAGTATGGGAAGCGAAAGTGAATAGGGGTGTTTTAAATATTGCACCTGTGGAGGTGATTTTAAAAGAGAGTGTTGAGCCAGTGAGGGGGAAGGAATATAATATTTCCCTGGAAGGGAGACATGGCTTGAAGCCAGTGATAGAGTTTCTATTGAGGGATGGGCTAATTGAGCCTGCAATGTCACCATATAATATGCCTATCTTACCTGTAAAGAAACCTGATGGTTTCTGGTGTTTGGTGGCTGATTTACATACCATTAATTGTTTGGTGGTTGAAAGACATATTATTACACCTGATCCCTATGCTTCGTTAGGGAGAATTCCATATGAACATAGATATTTTAGTGTAATAGATTTAAAGGATGCTTTTTGGACATGACCTTTAGCGGAGAAATCGAGAAATATTTTCGCTTTTGAATGGACAGATCCTGATACACATCAAACTCAACAGTATCGATGGTGTGTGTTACCACAGGGATTTTCAGAAAGCCCTAATTTGTTTGGACAAGTGTTGGAACAAGACCTTGAAGGGTTTGAACCACCTGTGGTAATAACAATGTTGCAATATGTGGATGATTTGTTAGTCTCAGGTGAGAAGAAATGGGATGTTGAGACAGGTACAAATGCATTGTTAAATTTCTTAGGACAACAAGGCCTAAGAGTTTCAAAGAAGAAATTGAAATATGTGGAGTCTGAAGTTAAATACTTGGGACATTTAATTAGTCATGGAAGTAAGCGGATCAATCCAGAAAGGATTGAAGGGATAGTTAGACAACCTATACCTAGCACTAAGAGAGAAGTTTGGAAATTGTTAGGGTTGTTAGGCTATTGTCGCCTCTGGATAGATAATTATACAGATAGGGTTAAGTTTTTGTATGAGAAATTGTTGAATGATGAACCGTGGGAGGTTGTATGGAATAGTGAAGAGGTGAATAAAATAGAGATGCTTAAGAAAGCATTGATACAAGCTCCTGTGTTAAGTTTACCTGATTTGAAGAAACCTTTCCCTTTGTTTGTAGCAGTGGAAGAGGGAATAGCTAAAGGTGTTCTAGCTCAAGTATGGGCTGGGAAGAAGAAACCTGTAGCATTTTTGTCAAAATTGATGGATCTAGTAGTGCGTGGTTGGCCTTTGTGTATACAGGCAGTAGCAGCTACAGCTATATTTTGTGGAGGAAAGTAGGAAGTTGACTTTTGGAAATGCTTTAGGGGTAAGGAGTCCACATCGGAACAATTTTAATGCAAAGAGAGCATAAATGGCTTACACATGCTAGACTATTAAAATATGAGGCAATTTTATTGTTCCAGGAGGATTTGCTTCTCTCAACTGACAGGAATTTAAATCCAGCTGAATTCCTTTCGGGAGAGAAATAAGAATGGGATAATATAGAACATGATTGTATTGAAGCCATAGATTTACAGACTAAGGTAAGAGAGGATTTGGAAGATAGTCCAATAGAGGACTATTAATTTGTTCATTGATGGATTTTCTAGAGTGGAAAATGGTAAACGAATTAATGAATTGTGAATGGAGATATGTCTGAAGTGTTGGAGATAGGACGTTTACCTGTTCAGTATTCTGCTCAGGTGTGTGAAGTATTTGCCTTATTACAAGCCTTGAAGCTTTTAGAAAATGAAGTGGGTAATATTTATACGGATTCAAAATATGCCTATGGAATCTTACAAACCTTTGGGAAAATTTGGATAGAAAGAGGACTTATAAAGGGTAAAGGAAAGGAGGTGAGGCAAGTAGATCTTATAAAAGCTGTATTGAAGGCAGCTGAAGTTCTGGAACGTTTGGCTATAATACATGTTGAAGCTCATAGGAAGGGAAATTCCAAAGACATTTTGAGCAATAGATTAGCAGATGAGGCAGTGACAGAAGCTGCACATATGGGAAGAGAAATGAAGAATGTTAGGAAGCTGTCCACCAATTAGTTGGGTTGGCAATATATAAACCAACAATGTATGTTTGTAGCTTTAAGACAAAATCACTGTATTGATTTATACTATGTTCCAATTGGTTGATTGTATTGCAGATTGCCATAAGAGGGAGCTAGAGATCATGGCTTGCTCTCTCTGATATTCTGTCTCTCTGACATTCTGTCTATCTGACATTCTCTTGCTATGTAAGATTTCTCTGTTGTATTTATGCTGTGCTTATACTTCGATATTTTTGTTTACTGGAAATGAAAAAGGCAACCCGTAAGAAGACTTTGTAATTTGATATTCTTTGGACTGTAAAACATATATGATCTGGACCGTTTATTGGACTGTGCTATTTCCTAAAGTAAACTTTAACTCAATTCAGTGTATCTGTATGGCTGAATAATTATTCATAATTACTCTCATAAATGTTTCCATGTGCATATCCTTGTTACTCAAGGGTTATTCTGTACATATCATAACAAAGATAATGATTTTAGTTCCTGTTTTGGAATGGGATGTAAAACCAGATTTCACTGATGAAGAAGAGTAACAGATGAAGTTAGAAGGTGCTAATTGTGTAGATGGAAAATGGGTAACAGAGAATGGATTACAGATGGTTAATAAGCCTATTATGAGAAACATAATAGAGAAGTTACATGAAGGCACTCATTGGGGAACACCATTACTTGTGGATTTTGTGAAGAGAAAATATATTTGTAGAGGTATGTTCACAATTGCTATGCAAGTGAGTAGAAAATGTATACATTGTGTGCTGATAAATAAGAAAATAATGCATAAAAATCTGAAAGGAGGTAGAGATTTAGCCATCTGGCCATTTCAGAGAATACAAATTGATTATACTGAAATGCCAGCAGTAGGTACATTGAAATACCTGTTGGTGATTGTTGATCATTTGACTGGATGGGTGGAAGCTTTTCCGTGTGCAAGCACAAATGCACAGATGACTGTGAAGTTACTATTAGAACAGATAATACCCAGATATGGATTAGTTGAATCCATTGATAGTGATAGCCGTACACATTTTACTTCTCATGTGGTAAAGGGAATTATGAAGGAATTAGGAATAGATTGGCAGCTTCACCTGTCTGGATACACCCCATCTTCAGGTAAAGTGGAGCGAATGAACCAAACTATAAAAAACACCTTAAAGAAACTGATGTTAGAACTTCCATTACCCTGGATGAAATGTTTACATCTAGTTCTATTGCAAGTGTGTACTTGTCCGAGAACGGAGGTTGGAATTTCACCGTATGAAATGATGTTTGGAATATCTTATACTGGAAGTGTGGGTATGCCTAGAATCGAACTTAAAGATATTTTTCTTAGAAAATATACACAAGGACTGTCCCAGTGTTTTTCTCTTTTAAGGTCCAAAGGACTTTTGGCACAAACACCACTGTTTGATTTCCAAGCGCATGATTTTAAGAGTGGAGACTGGGTCCTGATAAAGCAGTGGACAGCTTTGGGGAAGCTGAGACCTATTTGGGAAGGACTGTTCCAGGTACTGTTGACTACTGAATTGGCTGTGAGGACATGTGAGCGAGGTTGGATGCATCATTCATGTGTGAAGGGACCTGTGGATTCTGCTCCTGTCTCTGGCTGAAGCAAGTTTTAAAAGACTGGACTCTTTATTTATTTTTAGATAGTGGGGATAGTGAGTATATGTCTAGTTTAGTTTAGGTTTATGGAACTTTAGGAGGAGGAGTTAGATAGTTGGTTGAGTGTAATACATGTTTTTCTTGTATTGTTGATTATTTTAAGACATGAAACAATAGATTGGTGTACACAGATATTGTGTCCTATGAGTGCGGAAGAAGATAAAGAAGTAGATGTAAGTCCCCAACCGGTTGTAAGTTTTGAAGTATAAAACTACATACGTTAAGGTGGGTGGGGGCCTAGTCCATTTGTCCAAATGATGTTGATAGTGATTATTGCCTTGTGTGAGGTAGGAATGGAGGCTTCTGAAATATTGTCTGGTTATCCATTAACATGACAACAGTTATGTTTCCAAACTGAACCCAACAGTACAGAATATGAAGAGCAGATATCACTGACACTGATGGAACCTATGGCTGAGGCTGGAATCTGTATAAGATTCCTTAGATGATGGTTTGTATTTGGGAAAATACCCGACATGTAACCACACATATGACATTGCCATTAATTTGTCTAAGAGGATGGAGCAATTATATGATCATTGTTTTGAAATGTATGGCAATTGTTTTCCTTCTTATATGAGATTTAGAGCTCTGGAGGAGGGATTATTCATGCCATTCATTGAATTAAGAAGTGCTCCGAAGAAGGTAATGTTTTTGTGTGGCAGTTTAGCTATTGGGAAATTTCCATTTACCTGGAAAGGTAGATGTACAGTGGGATATCTTGAAGCTTCAAGAGTTTTAAGTAGACGTGTAAGACATATTAAAGGAAAAGAGCCTGTTGCTAAAAGTGAAAATGTTTTTCTGAAATTAATGAGAGTAGCTTCTTTTTGTGTAAAAGGAGAGACTACAGTTACAGACATCATGTCTACTTGTTTAATAGGAGTTCCAGTGCCAGGAAAGTTTTTAATAGGTGAATCCAGGATTATTATACATCCTGATGCTCATACTTTGTATAATTTGTCAAAAGTGATTACTTTGTTTGGATCTCCTGTGAAGCCAACTAAATGGACAAATCAGGAAAAAATTGTGTTAAGTATAAGTATAAACATCCAGAGAAAAAGCATGAAAAAACAATTTATAATTATTTGCCTACCGAAGAGGTTTTTCATTGTATGGAGGTTGAAGAAGTAGATGGAATGATACATGTGTTGTATTTACCTAGAGCAGAGGTGGGCAAACTACGGCCCGCGGGCCACATCCGGCCCGTTGGTCTGTCCAATGCGGCCCGCCCCTGAAAAAAAATCGCTGGGCGTGGCGTATTGCCCTGTGTCGCGTGGCCCCCAAAGCTGCAAAACAGTGCGGAGCGATCTAGGGGTAAGAAAGAAAAGAAATTTGCAAAGGCCTCGGCTGGGAGTTCGAAATCACCTTCGAGTGCGACCTCTCCGAAGGTGAGTCCCTGCCGATCCCCCTTTTTTTTCCGGGGCTTCCAGGCTTAAACTTTGCAAAGGCAAAGCTTGCAGGCTGGAGCGTCTTCCCGCCGAGGAGCGGGAAGGGTTCCATCCGACGGGCGGGGCGGGCTGCTTGGAGCCACCTAAAGCTAGGCCGCTGCTGGTGGAGCCTTGCCCTGCCTTGGTGCCCCGTTTCCCGGCTCGGCGGTCCTGCTCAGGCGGCACTTTAAAAGCCTGCTCCCAGCACCCGAGCAACTTCCCAGCAACTTTCCGCTTCGTTTTAACTCGCGGGTGCTCGCGCCTGGCCCCGAGCCGTGCGGCGGAGGGGAAGCCCGGCGGGCGGGCAGGCAGGCGGGCTGCTTGGAGGAGGTGACCCGGCGGCGCTCCGGGCTTCACCTCCGCCGTGCGGCTCGGGGCCAGGCGCGAGCGCCCGTGAGTTAAAACGAAGCCGAAAGTTGCTGGGAAGTTGCTCGGATTTCCGGGGCTTCCAGGCTTAAACTTTGCTCGGGCGGCACTTTAAAAGCCTGCTCCCAGCACCCGAGCAACTTCCCAGCAACTTTCGGCTTCCTTTTAACTCGCGGGCGCTCGCGCCTGGCCCCGAGCCGCGCGGCAGAGGGGAAGCCCGGCGGGCCGGCAGGCTGCTTGGAGGAGGCGACCCGGCGGTGCTCCGGCAGCAGCAACAGGCAGTTTCGCCCGGGCTCCGCTCAGGTGTCCGGCTGGGGCTGTCAGGAGTTGCTACCGCCGGCGGAGCTCCGTGTGGCTCCAGTCCCATGTTGTCTTGGGAAGGAAAAGGCAAAACCAGGAGCCGCTGAGCCTGAGCCTCCGGTGCCGCTGCTCCCGTTGCAAAGCACCGCCGCGGCTCTTCCTTTTTGCCTTTCCCTTCCGAGGCAACGCGGGACTGGAGCTGCGCGGAGCCGCGCCGGCGGTAGCAACTCCTGACTCAGGGGGCCTCCGAGGGGAGGGGAAGGAGGAGAAGGGGGGGAGGGGGGGCGATTCCCAAAAAATCTTGTGCTGACCCGGCCCGTCTGTCAAATTTTAAAAGTCAATGCGGCCCCTGAGCCAAAAAGTTTGCCCACCCCTGACCTAGAGGTTAGTTTATGTTTTGTGGAGCATATGCATATGCATTTATACCAGCTAACGCAATAGGTGGACCTTGTACGATTGGTCGTTTAATGACTGTTATGGCAACTGCTCATGCTAAGAATATAAACAAAGACACTACGTTATACTATGAAGTTATGAACGAAGTTATGAATTCTATCATGATCCTAGGTTTTATAGGGAACCTGTGCCGGATGATACGGTACTAAGAGAAGAACATGAACACGTCCACGTTCAAGAACATGAGGATACTTCTAAGAATAAAGAGCATAAAGAACCTCATTTTATTATATATACTTATCCTACAGTTAGATGGCCAGTGGCCCAGTGGGGAGCATGAATCTGTAGGAGAACATGTGAAGAAATATAGAGGGAAAAGATCAGCTCTTAGTGATGCTTATTCTTCACATTGTGATGATGAAGTAGTAATGTTGTCTAAAATAGAAGCAGATGTTCTGGGAATATTTGCTTGGGGAGCTATATACTATAATAATTTGCAGTTGGGACATTTAGTTTGTGCTTTGGCTAAGGGTATTAATGTAACTTCCTCTGATATTGCAGCCCTAGCTGATGAGATGGGAGAAATAAGGAAGTCTGTGTTACAGAACCATGTGGCAATTGATTATATACTTCTTAGAATGGGTCATGGATGTGAGGAGTTCAACGGAATGTGTTGTTTCGATATTCAAGACAGATCACAATTTATTGAGTCTAAGCTGAAAGTTTTACATAATATAACTACCCATTTAACATGTTATGAACAGTAAAGCTTTAAGACACATATGGCATGTATTAACTTCCTGGTTGCCCGATTTTGCATGGATAAAAGAGAAATTTCTTGGTATTGTTATAATCATTGTAATAGGGCTTATTTCATATATTTGTGTTAAATGTATACCACTGTGTGAATTGTGTTTCCACTGCTTTAAGCCTAAGAAAATTGAAGTAAAGCATAGAAGTTTTAGTCAGCAGGGAGTTAGGCTTATGTTGCAAGAACTTGATGGAAATTCTCAGGTGTAAATTGATTCAAACAGTGGATTGTTATATATGGAAATTTGGCCCATTACACCTGAGAATATAGAGAGCCGAACTGAAGCCATTTTGTGTTCGCAGTCTGAACTTTTAAAGATCAGAACATTTATACAATATATTTTTTCTGCTAAAAATTATACAGGATTGCAAAACTTGGATTCCAAAACTTCGGCTTAAGTCGAAGATATGTACTAGGGCACTTTGACATTATAAGTCAAATTGATAGATATTAATGATCACTTGTGTAATCTTCTGTTATTTGCAAAACAGGAAATCTGGAGATAAATGATGAAGTGAAGAATGTTGGGGAATTTCCAGTGGCAAGTGGGGGAAGTTATGTAAAAAGACCCACAACTTTCCTATGGGATTCTCTGTAACTTTTATTTGAAAAACAGGAAGCGTGTAACCATTTATATAACCATTTATGGGTATATAATGTGGTTTTTACTAAACATACTGTGTTCAGTTTGGGTTAAAGGTGAACGATACTGCAGTATCTGCAGTATTTGAAAAACAGGAAGCGTGTAACCATTTATATAACCATTTATGGGTATATAATGTGGTTTTTACTAAACATACTGTGTTCAGTTTGGGTTAAAGGTGAACGATACTGCAGTATCTCTCTTAATAAAGCCAGTTACAGATTTTCAGAATATCAAAGTCTGTTGTTTCATTTCTTCACTCACTTATCTCAGAACTAGAAAAAGAATAATTAAAATTGAATAGACATGAAAATAAGAATTTATAATAGACTAACCAAGCAAGACAGATAAATGTTTATGGAAGATAAAAGTGATCAATATTTAAGATATGAAAGGGAATATTATGTGGAGCCCAACAGAGAATAGACATAATCATGTAGTAGGATAATATTTTTAATGAATTATATATTTTGTTATTCACATATATAAGGTAGCAAGGTTATAATGTTATCATGTTAATACCGTGTTTCTCATATAATAAGGCCGGGTCTTATTTTTTTTTGAGCCCCGAAAAAATGGCTAGGCTGTCTTTTCGGGGGTGACTTAATTCCCCCCCCCCTTGCATCTTCGGGCGGGCGGCGACGGCTTGGATGTTGACCTCGGCATTGGTGGGGCACTTCATATCAGGGTCAACGCAGGCAGCACCATATCCGGGTGTGCAACGAAAGTATTTCCTAATGGCAAGCCCCCCCACCATTGCCCCCCCATTTCGCATGTTTTAATATAGGCCTTAATTTGGGGGGAGGGGCTTAATGCCTATAAAACATGCTATAAAACATTTCATGCCTATAAAACATGCTGGGACTTCCTATTGGGGGAGGCCGTATTGTTGGAGAAACAGGGTATTATTGGCTACAAGAAAACATATTTGTGTAAAAATAAGATGTTAGAGGGAAGGGAATATACAGAAAATAAAATATATGCAAAAGTGGCAAATGTAACATGGGGGGGGGACATAATAGGGGATAATATAAATTAAGATGAAATTTTGAATGGTCAATGAATGGTATGAATAGATTAAATTGTAAACATTGAGAGCATAAGAAATATATGATCAAGGAAGTTAGAGATTGATTAGAATATTAAATATTTTGTTATCCACTTGTACAAGGTAATGAAGATATATTGTTATATTGTTGGTTAAAGAAAATAAGATGGAAAATATATTTGTGCAAAAATGAGAAGGTAGAGAAAAGGAGATAGACAGAAAATAAAATATATGTAATAATATTGGAAAGGGGATTTAATAGGGGATAATACAAATTAAGATTAAACTTTGAATGATTAATGAAATGATGTGAATAGATTAAACTGTAAACATGTTGAATATAAGTATATGATCAAGGAAGATAGAGATTGATTGACTGATATAAAATAATTTATGAGAATATAAAGAAGAAAATTGGGTAATAGATAATGATGTGATGTTAGAAAGCTGTATCAGTTACTATGGATATGACAGATTTAAAATATAAAACACCTGGAACCACACTGTTCTCACAAAGATGAATTTAAATAATTAAAAAAAAAACTTTTCCAAAAAAAAGGCTAGAGATATTGTCAGGACTATTGCAGTCAGCTTAGCAGAAGTGGAAAGGGGTTTCTCGCAGATGAACATAATATGTTCAGAGGGCAGAAGTCACCTTATGGTTTCCAATATAACAAATCTGCTGACTATCAATCTAATTGGCTTACCTCTGTAAGAATGGGACCCTGTTCCTATAGTAAAAAAAAAAGGTTATGGGCACATCACACAGCTGATGATGCTCCTGTCAAACAAAAGAAAACTGCAACTGACGATGCCAATAAAAAAGCAATTTGGCAGTACTTTAAATAACAGTTTTATTGTTTTTTGTAAAGTTTTGTTATGTAATAGTTTTTGATTAATATTTTAAAATGTAACAAAATCTAGTTTTGTGTACCTTTTTATTATTTAAGCATTAAAGACATGGAATAATAAACTACTTTTGTTTTGGTATATCTTTTTTTTATACTTAAAAATGTCATTAGG